ATATTACTGATTGTTTTGTATAACTTACAAACAATAATAGAATATGCAGTACTTTTTGTTGTGCATTCTGTATAACTAATTGGTCCCCAGAGAATGCTTTTGAGATTTTTCCAGAACTTTTGTATCCTTAGTCAATCTCTGGTTCTGATTCAATTATGACTTGACAAATGGAGTCCTATGTCCATCTGTTTTCTAGTAAATCAATACATTTATTGTTAATCAATATAATATGTGATCTATGTTTAAAGTATTTGTCATCCTGGAACAACACATAGGCATTAAATTAAGTCAAGCAGTTCGGCCTGGCAGGCTTCAGGGTCCCAGGCAGAGCAGTTCCTTTCTCTGCTCCGGGATGATCATCCACGAGAGCCTCTCCTACTTCTGGAGCCCAGCCAGGAGGCAGTGTCCCCAGTACCTGGAGTTGGTGACCTGAGTCCCACATGCTGAGAAGGCCTGGGCTGGCTCTGAGCAGCCAGTCCTCAGTCTGAAGAACCAGGTTGAGAGTGGAGGCTCACAGTACACCTATGGGGTCGTCAGGAGCGTCCAAAGAAGCCCCTTAGCTAAAAGCTCAAAAAACCTAAATATACCAATGATATACTTGTATGTTTATTACAGAAATAGTAAGGATGGGATTTACTACAGAACAGAGAAACCAGTACACTATTTATCCACTCTCCAAAACAGGTTTTCACATGGGCTCAAATGCATGACATAAAGATGTGAAGTTTGTCATCCTGATGCAAAATTTTTATCAGCAGAAGCAAGCTCTCAGATGTTGCTTTAGCTTCCAAAACCTTATTCCATCTTTTCCAGTGTAGAAAGCATTTATGTAGAGTTGTCTATGGGCACAGATGGCTTTGTTGGACGAGCCAAACAAAGCCTCCTTCTGCTCCTCAACACGGTCCTTACTCTCTAGGCCCATCAAGCCAGTTCCCATAAGGAGAGAGCTTGGGAGCAACTCACCATGGGATGCAGTAGGTTGTGTCCTGGCTTAATCAGGAAGTGCATGCCCTTGCCTTCTTGCTCCAGGGCTCTTATGTTCAGAACAGGCCTGGAGCCATCCATAGGAAGCAGTTCTGTGTCCTGCAGCCTTTTCGTCTCTCCCCACTGCCGGTATATAGAGCAGTCATGGATAACCTATGGCTGCATGCTGCAGAGGGCTGTTTGTATCACTGAAAGTTCTAGAAGGTTCACCATCATGGCTATGGAGGTTTCTTGGGTTGTGCACACTTTTCTAAAGCTGATGAGCTGCTGCAGGAGTCTGGCAAGGAGCCCATGGACTGCAAGGTGCCGTGACCTGCACTGAGTGGTGATGTCTCCAGAGGTGGTTTTCAAGGAGCTGCTATTGAAGTTATGCAGTTATTAAAAAGTTCTGTATTCTTAAGCACCCTGTGCTAGGGAAGAAAACCTCCATAAAGCAGGCCAGAGCCAGGCTGCCTGGGGATGGCATATTTACCCAGCTATAAATAGGAGATATATTCAACCATCTCTGTATGTCTCAACCTTCCAGGTAAGAGGAGGGCCTTTAAGAGGACAAGGTCATTTGCTTGAAAATAGCCATGTTTCCCACAAAGGCAGGAGGCCAAAGACTCACTTGGTTCTCTCCAGCTCTGCTCCCTCATGGTTAAAGGGGAAGACCCACATCTTTTGGTACAGCTCATAGTTTGCTACCTGCTGCTACTTATTTTTACCTGCAGGTCAGGCTTCTTAGGTTACAAGGTGTTCCATGATTTTTCTTAAAAAGACCTGCCCCAATATCTTTTAAGAGGCCTCATCCCTCCTTCTTCCAGGAAGGTTGAAGATGTTTGAGGAAGTCTGAACCAGAAATTGGGAATTTCCTCCCTGTTTGTCTTAGAGGTGAATATGCTTGAGGATTGGCCTCAGTGTGAGTCTTAACAGAGAGACAGTCTACAGACAGATGGGTCTTTATGCTGGGTCCTTCCTGGACTGGAAGGTGGGAAGCTACACAAAGAGGAGTAAAAGAGTTTGTTTTTAATCAAGAGTAGTGGTTTTCTCCAAGGGCTGTCTCAAGGTTTAGGAGAGTTAAGGTCACAAACTGCCAAGTAGTGTTTGTTTTCTATTTTGTTTTGTTTTGTTTTGCTTTGCTTTGCTTTGCTTTGCTTTGCTTTGGTTTTAAATGAAGTGAAATTACTTGGGGCTATGTTTTTCTGCAACACTGGAGAATTTAACCTTCTTTATAGAATACTTATGCAGATACATATTG